GCCGCCGGTCACACAGGGCAGCGGGCGGGCAGCGGGAGAACGGCGCGGCTTCCCTCCCTGCCTCCCGGGCCGGCCGGAGTCCTCGCAAGTCCCACGGAGCGGGAGGTGGGCAGCCAAGCGCAACGGTTCTCGCACCGCCCCTTCAGGCCTCCGAGGGTCTGTTCTTGGGGGGGGGAAGACAGAGAACGGGGGAAAGACAGAGATGGGGCGGAAGAGAGAGAACAGGGGGGAAAGAGAGACTGGGGGGAGAGAGAGAAGGGGGGGAGAGAGACTGGGGGGAAGAGAGACTGGGGGAGAGAGAGAGAGACTGGGGGGGAAGAGAGAGAAGGGTGGAAGAGAGAGAGACTCCCCCCCCGCGAGTATCGCGGGTCTCCCCCTTGTTTTATCTAAACTCATACACTACATTTTTGAAATGAAAGAGAAGTCAGGGCATATAAAGAACAGTTAACTTAAAAAGGAAAGCAACCTGCTCTCTACTGATTTATTTTAAAATGTATAGCTTGAAGAGAATCTCAAAGTAGTTTATAGCTAGATTATCACAATAAAAATCACAATTATGCCAAAGTGCCAGGCAATATATTAATCAGGCAAAACCAACCTAAAAAGCTACATTTTAGAACCCCCTCAACTACAAGCAACCCTAGAGGGCCTCTCTGAAGAACAAGCACACAGCAAAGAAACAACTCCTTCCTTTAATTCTGAAAGCAGAACTCCTTGGATACCTTTAAAGCACTCGGGGATCTGTACAGGAGCACACTGTCCTTCAGGGAACCTGTTCACAAGCCGCACAAACCTTTAAAGGTCAATACTGGCAATATGAATTAAACTCACAAAATAAACTGGGAGTCAGCATAATTAAAATGTAGCTGTCAAGGTAACAGACATAAATATGAAAGGACTTGATTCAATGTAGAGCCAAATCTCACATGAATATATCTCAGCTTCAAGTGAGAAATGGGTAATTTTTTTACACTTGAGAAAGCCTTGCATGGAAGTTAATTTCTTCCTGTCACAATTTACTAAGGAATGGACTTCCTCTTATACATTAAAAATATGCACATTAATATATTTTTTTCAAAATCTGTTTTTAGACAAGTATGTATTTCTTCTGAAACTGTCCATTTACCTCACGCCTTTCTATTTCTTTCCTCCTTTCTTCTTCCCTTTGACGTTCCAACTCGCGTTGTTTTTCTAGCTGTTTCTCTAACTCCAGCTGTCTTTTCCGCTCCTGTTCCTGTCGTTCACGTTCCTTCCGTTCCTGCTCTGCCCTTTCTAACTGAGCAAGGCGCTCTTGCTCTTTTCTCTGCTGTTCCAAAAGGGCTTGTCTCCGCTTTTCAAGCTCCAGGTTGCCCCGTTCAAAGTTCTCACGTTTTTTATCTTCAAATGTAACTTAAAGAAAAAGAAATTTATTTAGATATGGTGTAAATGGAACACTTTATTTCAGATTTTTTTTAGGGATGAGCATTCTATGGTGTTTTAATACCAAAGATACTTAGACCTTCATAATTTTCCGTTTGCCCACAGTGTACCCCTCATAGTGACTACTGTGAAGTATGGAGACAAGAACGGATAGTTACAGTTCCTGGCCATGTTTTCAGATATGCTTTCCCACCTCATATATTCTGGTGGTTACTTCAGAAGTTCACAGTGGAAAAACAGGAACTGGTCTCATGACCTATGAGGGTATCCCTATCATGTATTCCTGGCAGAATAATCAAAATATGAACAATTCCCATTTAATGAAATATATACCATAAAGGACACAGGAAGTTGCTGTAATCCTTATTTATTTAGAAAAAAATTATGCCACTTTTCTATAATCCTGCTTGAGACAACAGCTCCCATGCTGCAGAGGTAATGTCAGACGGCCCAATCACGTGGCAAACTTATTCTCACACCATCAGTGTTTCAAATCCAAAAGCAGCAGCGCTAGAGTGGCAAGAAATTATCCTACCTGAGCAACCAAATCAAGGTTGCTTCTACATCACTTATCAATGTTCCCCCAGGCATGCTCAAGGCAGATGCAATTCACCCTAATCTTATAACACACAACCACAAATCCTACTGTTGGCTCCAGCCCCCCACCCCCAACTATAGTTTACTCTTACTCAGGGGTCATTTCCTACAGGAGCGCATAGGAGCGGAGCTTCGGCAGTAAAGAGCCCAGGGGGCGGGCACAAGCAACAAAATTTGTTCCCCTGCTCCCAGCAGCCTTCAGTTAGAGCAAGAAGCAGCCAGGTAAGTTGCAGAGCCCCCCCCCCCAGCTCCCCGGTCCAAAACAGTCCAGTGGCACTTTTAAGACCAAGTTTTATTCAGGTACAAGCTCTCCTTCCTCTGTGAGGAGAGATCTGAACGTTCCCCCCCCCCAATAGCTAGCAATCCAAAACAGTCCAGTGGAGCCTGAGCGGTGGGTGTTGCCTTCTGACACACTTCCGGTGATGTCAGGGAGTGTGGGATATGCAAATAAGTTATGCTAATGAGTTATGCTAATAAGCTCCTGCGCCTCTTTTGCTACGAAATGACCCCTGCTCTTACTCATTTAAATACTAACTCACCAGGCAATTTCTTTTCCAGCTGTTGCTGTTCTTCTTCTAATACTGGTTCTTCTGGTAACCTTTGGTCTACAGACACTGAGCTTGTGACAGATACCCCACTGCTAGAACGAACTCTTCTGCCAGTAAAAAGAAGTGTAAGCTGCCTTGAGCAGGATTCTGATGAGTTTCAAGAACGTTTTGCTGTGATGCAGCTCATTTTCAGAAACACACTATGGATCAGTTCATACATGCACTTAACAAATCTTTATTTCTTATCAAGTGATTAACACAAAATATGTGAACTAAATCCACTTAAATGCAAGGCATTCAAGAGGATGAAAATATTCAGTCTTGAGATGTTTCATCCACACATGTAAGCTATGATGTGACTTTGCAGCAACTGATAAAAGTCACATTCACTTTTTACAACAGACTCAGGATATATTTTTACTGTAGAGCAGCTCTAGGCAGACTGAATTCTTGTGAACTTGCCATGTGTACAGCAGACCAGAAAAGCAAAGTTAATAAATAACTTAAAACCAACTGTGGATGGCTGCTTGTCTGTCAGTCCCTTTGTCCTTGTGACAAACCAGTCATCTGAAATATCTTTTATGAGATCACACTTCTGTGCTCTACCGCTCAACAGATTTAAAAGCATTTGTCAAGCCATGACAAATTGCTATTTGCAATCCTGAATCATGGTTCAGACAATCAGTTGGCTGTGAACTAAAGATAAGCAGTCTGCCACAAGCACAGCTGTGTGAATTGACCTCACGAAAAATTTAATTCAGCCACCTTTAATTCCCCACCTCAAAAAGGATTAACCTGAACTTCCAGAAGGAACAGAATATTGAGGGTCATCTATAATATATTAAACTTAAGAAAAATCACAATACAACATGCTCCCCACATAATAATCATCATTTTATTGAATTCCCCAGAAATGAACAAAACACTATATGTATCACCTCCTAGCTTACTACTAAACATGTCAGAATTAAATGCAGTGTTGCAGTACTTTTACCTAAATGAGGGAGGAATATAGTCCGGAGACAACACAGGTGGCAGTGGCTGGCCTGACATAGCCATGTCGATTAAGTGCATAGCCAAAATGAATTCTTCTGCGGTCAGTTTTCCATCCTGGTCAATATCTGAAAGATTCCTATTGAAATAAAGTATATTTTTGGTCTTTTGTCCCTCAAAGCCAAAAGACGACATAGCTACATGCCTCCTCCAGTATCAGCTGGGTGTTGCCCAGTTTGATGCCCCTGACCCCCCATGTTCAGAAGAACTAACTGTTCTCTTTGTGTGAGAGATGAGGGGTTTGCTGCTATCAGTATTTTAAAGCTGCTTTCTACATTACTTTATTTTCCCCCTTCCAAGATCCATTTATATTGTGAGCTTTTTTAAGGGGAATATGCTGCCAGTGGATAACACCATTCACTCACATGATGTAAAATTAAGGGGTGCACTAGAAACTCTTGAGTTGTGGCTAAGCCTGTCCTGTAACCTTGCTTCTTGAAGGAACCCCATTTTTCTTGTCCTTGCCTAACAATCTTTATTATTCATGAACTTCTATTACAATGTTTTATCCTGCCCTGGAGGATGTGTAGTTGTCCCCTCCTCCATTTTATCCTGATAATCACCCCATGAGATAGGTTAAGTTGAGAGAGGGTAATTGGTTCAGTATCAACCAGTGAGTTTCATCGATGATGCAGAAATATAGAAAATAACTTGCCATTGAAAATCAGCTTCCACGTAACTTAAATGTGTACTATAGAGAACGAAGCCTGTGCACAATTTAGAGGATATATAGGTTTGTTCTCTTAAAATGTTAATTCTGAATCCCAACATAATGGGCTGTATGAAATTAACCATCCATCCACCTAGAGAATCAGGGGACCCACATGAACAAAAAGCTATTTGGGTCAAGCGACAAAGAAAAGAACAACTGGGTAAAAACCACCCCTTTCTTCCTACCTCCACACAACGAGCTCTGTTTACAAACAATGGAGAAACTGGCAATTTCACCTATCTCTTTCTTCTCACTGAAGACCATAACCCATGCAGGTCATGGAAATCCAGGCATTAAAACGGACTGGTCTTGCTTCAGCTCATAACAAAAAAGTGCAGAGTAACCATTTATATAAACAACTCATATTTAGACACATTAGCATCCATGCCAATAAAGGTTTTGAATTGAATTGAATTGACACATTAGAATAATTAAGAGATCCAAATGGAAAATACCTAATGTTAAAAATGAGACTCCCAACATATGACCAAATGATGCTAAAGTTAATTCTTTGATTTCCCCCCCCAAATAATGCTAGAATTTCAAGAGGAGGATATAATAAACTTTGGAGACATGAACGGAGTACTAGGTCCAAAGAAGGGCAGATCAAGAAATCTTAAAGGTGGGAAATTACCCCAAAACGTATTCCAATATTTGGAAGTGCTGAGATTAGGAGACACCTGGAGGATCAAACATCTAAAGGGTGGAGATTTTACATTTTTTTCCAGATAGACGTCAAATGAACTCAAGAATAGCTATGTGCTGGATACCAAAAACCCTGACAATAAACCTAGACAAAGTGGAGATTCAATCAAAGATATTGGCAGATTACAACCCCACAGAAGTAGTTTGGCAATGGGACAGAAAATCAAGAGGAAGACAGAGACTAAATGACGCTTTTTTACTACAAGAAGATGAAGTAAGCAAGTGTAAAAAAGATTTGGAAGAATTTTTTAAAATAATACAAAAGGAATGTACTCAGCCATAATTTGGAAAGTAAGCAAAGCTGTTACTAGAGGAATTTTACTACCATCTGCCACCAAAAAAACCCGAGAAAAGTCAGAACAAACCAAGATAACCGTAGAAAAAATTCAGAGATTGGAACACAAGCATAGATGAAACAATTAAAAAACCAATTAGACACGTTAGAAATAGAAGAGATACATAAAAAAATAAACATTTTAAAGGAAAGGCATTCTGAACATGCAAACAAATCCCGCAGATATTTGGCATATTGTATTAGGAAGGATATAGAAAAAGGTGTAATAACAAGTGTAAAGAAAGGAGATCAAATTACATATGCAGAAAAAGAAATACAGGAACAATCTATCACTGCTCTTACAGGATTATACAAAAAGAAGTCTGTCAGAAAAAGGGAAAAAAAGAATGACTAAAAGACATCCTGACCATAAAGTTTATGTCAGAACACAGAAAATTTTAAACCAAACAGTGACAATTCAAGAAATTTCCCAGTCAATAAAAATATGAAAAAGGATAAAGCTCGAGGCCTGGATGGGCTAACAGCAACGTACTACAAACATTTTCAAGAAGACTTAATGATACCATAACAAAAAGTTATGAATGCAGGGGTGGAAACTAGTCAGAGGGTCAAAAATACTGATTTTACTGACCAAAACCTGACAAAAAAACTGACAAATTACTGAACAATTTAATGTCAGCCTACTGATAAGCTAGGGTTTTAAATGTAAAACTAGGTCTTTATTAAAAATTATTATTATCTGGCCTCCACTATCCCCATAGCCAGCCCCATAGTTAGATGTGACCCAGATAAAAGGAATGCACACCTTTTTATTGATTTTTTTTATGAATAGAGGACAACGTTTTCATTATTGTACAAAATTTAAGGCAAAAAAAGATTCCCTTTAAAAATAATCACATACAACTTCCGGTGGGTAGATCGGCGATGGCGGTCGCTCTCCTTGATGCCCGAGGAGGCGACTAGCACACCCTTGGCTTGGAGGGGTGCCACCTCAACACAGAGCCCTTGTGAAGGGTTCCAGGTCAGGGGGCTTTTGAAGGTTAGCCTCTTTGACGGCTCGATGCCGGAGAATAGAGGCTTCCCTCCGCCCCGATGGTCCAGCCGAGGGGTGACCTTAGGGTACAAGCCAATCTAACCGTGACAAGCGCAGGAGATCAAGTGGAATAGCACATGAAGAGAGCGGGGTCAAAATATGACCAACAATGAACGTGAGTTCAAAATAAACTATTTGATTAAACGGAGTACCACCCCCCCCCCGGGGGAAAAGCAGGGCGTAAGGAGGGACACCTCCTAAGTGCAGGAACGGACTAATGTAGCGAAGGGGGAAGGGGGGGAATAAACAGTGAGATTTTTCTGAGAGACTTACTTGAGTACCGATAGTGAAACAACGAGTCGAGTCCTGGCATAGCGGTTTGGAAGTGTAAACAACGTGGAATATGGCTGCTTCTCAAGGAAAGTTAAAAACGAAACCAGGCAGTCAGAGCCCAAGGCCGGAAGAGGGAGCAGACGTCATGAAGTTGCTAGCGGATATGCTGAAGCCGGTAATGGACCAACTCGGTGGTATTAACCAGCAATTGGCCACACTAAACCAAAACTTCGCTCTGCAGCAGTGCCAGCTGGCAGAAACGGAGAAGAAAGTGGAGCATGCAACTGTGAAAATTACAGAGATGGATATTGCAAATAAAAAGATGAAGAAAAGAGTAACGGATGTGGAAACAACACAAAAACTTCAGGAAACTCGTTTGTTACAGCTTCAAATGGAAAAAGCTAACATGACTCTCAGATTTCAGGGGGTGCCTGAAATTGAAAAAGAAGATTTAAAGAAGACTCTGGGAGAGATCATCGCTCCAGTAACAGGTATACCAGCGGATGAAACAGTAAAAGACATGGAGGCTGCCTATCGGGCATACTCTAATTATATCAGAAAAAATAACCTGCCTGGAGAGATTGTGGTGAGATTCGCAAGAAGACAGATAAGACTTGTCTTTGCTTTTACTTTATCTTTGTTTTTTTGATTAAAAAAAGAACCAGCCCGAGCTCTGCCATCCCTGGTGGAGGCCATGTCAGGCTGGGCATTGGAACACCGTAGACTGATTGGCATCTGGATCGGGGCGGATTGGCAGTGATGTTGCTGTTGGACCTGTCAGTGGCATTTGACACAATCGACCATCAGTTACTGATCAGTTACTGATCCACCGCCTCGCAGACACTGGAGTCCAGGGGCCTGCCTTGCAATGGCTGGCTTCCTTCCTTCAGGGTCGGGCAAAGGGTGGTGGTAGGGGAGCAGCTATTCCAAAGAGATGCGGTATTAAAGGCAAGTTCGGCAAATCCACTGAAAATTGGGAATACAATC